AGTCCTCAGATTATGACATTGGCGACATCCGCAAGCTCACTCACAGTGAGAACTACTGCCCACATTAATAATCGTGTCAGTCATGCCGTGTCTCGTCTTTCTTTTTGCCAATAAAGCCACCGCGTTGACTTCAATCAGTGGATAAATAGCAATTTTAGAACCTTTGAACGAGAGGAAGAATCTAAATTTTCAGTCATGAATAAAAAATGCGAGCAGCAAAAAGACAAGCAATCTATACACTTGCATCGTTTAAGTGAAGAGATCAAGGATGAGGATGACAATCCATAACAAAAGTTAAATATATCTTTAATTTTTTTTTTAATATATTTAATATTGATAATTTTTTTTTTTTATATAAAAATTTTAGTTAAATATACCTTCAATCTTTTTTTTTTTTTTTTAATTGCTAATTGATATCCACACAAATTCTACTTGTATTTCTAATCACTAAATTTATTTACATAAATTGAGATATGAAGAAATCATTACAATAACAAAAAAAAAAAAAAATCTTATTGTTTTATGATTTAACAAATCTAGATTACAACAAAAGAATAAAATACTAAATAAAATATGAACTTAAAAATACAAAATAAAATTAAACCAATTATAGCAAAGTCTTAATTAAATAGTTCTTTTATCATATTTTTAAATGTAAAATTATTAATTAAGCATACAAAATTTACTAGGGTCCTTTAGTTTAGATTGTGAACTTGGATTAACCAAATTGAATCCTTATTTGTTGGCCTCCCAAAGTCATAGGAGTTAAAATTAGTTGCGGTGAAGGTTGAATTTGTTTTACATGACTCAAATCTTACACGACTCAAATCTTACACGAAATTAGCTAGCCAAACTAATATGATTCTTTTCTTCCATTTAAGATATGTATTGTTTGTTACCCATTTCTAAGTCAATTCTATTAAAAAATATATATAATAGCAGCTTATATAAAAACTTTTAATTTTTTTAAAAGAATAAGAAAATATAATTGAGCTGAAATCAAACATTTTATGAATAATTTTATTTAGTAAAGATTAATTTCATAAAATTTAATTTTGTGAAAAAAAAAATTAATTCACAATACACTTGGCAATTTTAACATGAAACATTAACCGGATATGAACAAAAAATTATATGAAATAATAACACAAAAATTAAATGAGTAATGTTATACAAACAAAAAATTCATATGTAATGATGTGACTCATTGTGAACTTTTTACTTCAAAACAAAATACCATTAAATATGAATTTATTTATAATAACGGCATTATCACATCAGTCATGTTAAGGTTTTTTATATGGATTTTGTATAATCAAGCCAAGCCTTAAGTCCTATTAAATGGGATCGACTACATGAATCTTTCTTCTCCACGCGGCCCTATCAAAGGCCATTTCGTTAGTCAAATTAAGTAGATCCATATATCTATTTATAACGCTAGCTAACGTTAATCTAGGCCTACCCTATCCCCTAACACTTCCATCTACCGTTACAGTATCGCATCTCTTCACTACTGCCTCTGTCGGTCTCTGTTGAATATGACCAAACCATCTCAAGCTATTCTCTCTCAACTTATCTTCTATCGGTGCTACTCCTACCCATTCTCAAATACACTAATTCCTAATTCTGTCTTGTCTAGTCTTGCCACACATCCACCTTAACATCCTCATCTCAACCACACTCATCTTATCTATATGTTTCTTGGTTGCCCAACACTTCGTTCCATACAACATCGCTAGTCTAATAGCCGTTTTGTAGAACTTACGCTTTAGTCTAATGGGTATTCATTTATCGCATAGTACCCCAGACATACTTCTTTGCTTGCACTATCCCACCTTAATCTTATGGGCCACATTCATATCAATCTCCCCCGCTGTTGTGATAATCGATCATAAATGATGAAAATGTTCACTCTTAGGCAGTTCTTGGTTCTCAATCTTCACTTCTCCTCTACTTTTATTGTTACTGTTACTAAATTTACACTCTATGTACTCTATCTTAGTTTTGCTTATCCGGAATCCTTTTCAAGAGCTTTTCTCCAAAGCTCCAACTTTGTGTTAACTCATTCTCTAGTCTCATCCACTAGCACGATAGCTTCTGCAAAAAAATACATCATGGCACGTCATCCTGAATATTTCTCGTTAACTCATCCATAACTAAAGCAAAAAGATTAGGACTTAAGGTAGATCCTTGGTGTAACCCTACAGTGATAGGAAATTCATTTGTCTCTCCAGCAGGCGATCTAATAGTGGTCCCAACCCCTTCATATATGTCCCTAATCACATCAATGTAATCTTTTGTCACCCCTTTCTTCTCTAACACCCACCATATTATATCCTAGGGCACTCTATCATATGCTTTCTCAATGTCGATAAACACCATATGAATGTCTCTTTTCTTTTCTCTATACTTTTCTATTACTTTCCTCAAAAGATAGATCGCTTCCATTGTTGACCTGCCAGGCATAAACCCAAATTGGTTCTCTGACACCTCTATTATATCTCACAATCGGCGTTCCATCACCCTCTCCAACACTTTCATTGTATGACACATTAGCTTGATTCCTCTATAGTTATTGCAATTCTGGACATCTTCTTTATTCTTATAGATTGACACTAAAATATTCTTCCTCCACTTATCTAGCATGTTCTTAGTCAACAAAATTTTGCTAAACAACCTAATCAACCAAGCAACCTCCTTTTTACCCAAACATTTCCAAGCTTCAATAAGGATATCATTGGGTCCTAAAGCCTTATTTGATTTCATCTTCTTAAAAGCAATCTCCACTCCAAAGTTCCTAATCCTACGATAGAACCTATAATCTTGGTTTATCGTATTATTGGCTATTTCTTCCCCAATTGCCTCCATATTTCTCATGTAATAGTTTCTCAAAATAGTTCTTCCATCTTTCCTTAATCTCTTCATCCTTCACCAATACCTTAGAATAAAACGACACGATACCTATTTGTAATTGGGAGCCCTAAATTTTATTCAAATTTGAGGGTCTAAGTCGACCGCCTTGGTCACCTTGCATCAAGGCTGGTTTGGTTTGCGGCAGGTGGCATGTGCAAGTATATGGTTCACAACGGAAGATGGTTACAAGCGGAGGGATAAAGAGGCAACGGGAAACGATGGTGGAGGAAATAGGTGGCACTAGGAATGAAAGATGGTTGTGGTATTTGGAATTAGGATTTTAGTGGAAAAAGATAAAGGTGTTATGATATTTTTATTTTAGGACAAAATTTTATTAAGAAAAAATTTCATCTAGTATGTGAAATAGAATTATCCGATCCAAAGTCTACACTTTTATATATTTTTTATGACTAATTTACCCTCATAAAATTAGCAACCACCCGATATTATGCCTGAATCTCGAAGATCAAACATTAGGTCACCGATAATACGATTGCATTGCTTCTAGTTACTCCACAGGGATGCCTTCTCTTCCATCCATATTGATTGAAGGGTATTGTTGGGCCTTCATGGGCTCATCACATAACTCACATGCATAATTTGAACTGTTTAATATGTAGGACTCGGCAAGTACTTTATCTCTGTAAAAAAAACCACATTGATTGAATATTGATGACTACTTGATCAGATCACATTTATGTTAATAGTAAATATAATTTCAAAAATAAAATATTGAAACAAATGTAATATAATCGAGTGACTATCGATATCCGATCAATGTAATTTTTTGCAAGGATAAAATAGTCGACCAGTCCTACACATTGACCAGTTCAAATTATCAATGCAAATTTCGTGATAGGCCAACAGATGCCTAACAGCAGTCAACACTTGATTTTCCTAATTGTAGAAAAGGAAATTCTATAATATACACTTCATTTTAGGGTATGTATTATATGTTCAACTATGATACTTGTAATTTTTTGTTATGATTTATTATGGTATTAGTTATGATTTGGCTATGACTCATTATAATATTTATTTTGACCGACTGGGATCATTATTTTGGCTATGATCGAAAAGATTTTTAGTTATATCTTATGTACTATTTGGTTATGACTCATTATGTTTATTTATTTATTATTATTTTTTAAAAAATTTAGTTATGACATTTATAGTAATCAACACTATAAATATCATAATTTGCATGGTACACACTCTTTTGAGTGTGTATTTTAAAATGACCCATATATATATATAGGGTTGGACTTCTTTCCAGTTCGTGATTAGACTAGAGGATTTTGTTGGGCCTATGGGGGCTCACCACGAGTCCCATTTTAATAATCTGAACCGTTCAAAGTGTAAAACTCGTTGAATACTATATGCCTGCAAAAAATCACGTTGATCGGATATCGATAGCTATCTCATAGGATCAGATTTTTTTTATATTTTTAAAATTTTTTAAACATTTTGTCAATTACCAAACGCGTTTGTAGTTTATGTTTTTCTAAAAATAAACAAAAAATAAACAAAAACTAGTTTATAAAATTTTTGTAAATATAAACTGAAAACGTAAACGTCACCAAACACACCCTAAATATAATGTTAATTCATATTTATTTAGTTTTGATTCCAGTCTGCAAATAGTAATTCTCTTTAAATTTATTTATTTTAAAAGAAAACATTTATGCCTCTTCACTAAAATCATCCTTCACCGCTTTAATTTAGATTTGTTTGAGAATGGATTTGTAGTCAATAGATTTCAAATATCTAAGCAATAGAAATCTATGGATTTTCTCTCTGTAGTTTGGATACTGAAATAATGAGAAAGATTTAAAATCTACAGCTTCACATTTTTTTTGTTATGATAAAAATTATATGATAGATTTATTTTCATTTTTTGTTATCTAATTTAATTAGTGTTAATCTATATTATTTAGATTAGTGGTGTAATTAGTACAACCAAATATGCACACATCTTACTTAAGGAGGTGCCACCTCCTACTTAAGAAGATGTGAATATAAGTAGAGACAAATATCTAATTATAGAGAAAACAAATAAGAGAATAAAAATAAATGAACAATTTGAATTATCGAAATAACATACTTGATAAATTTCATATAGTAAACTCAACCGTACAGTTGCTTCTCTCTAAAGTAAAGAGAAGCATGGCACTTACATATGCTCTAAACAAATATAAAAGAAATAAAACACAAGAACCATTAAAATTGCATATCAAAGTAATAAATAAATACTTGCGCACAAATTTAAAGTTCACATGAGAGCACATTTCTATAAACGATAAGTTGGAATTGCAAGCAAGTGTTTGGCTCTTGGTAATGACAAGCCAAATTTCTCACTCATATTCAATTCATTTGGTTTCATCCCATTAGGCAATTTCCAATCAAAGCAATGCATCAAGTGAGCCACTACCAACCGAATGTTAGTTAGCCCCAAATGCATCCCAGGGCACCCCCTCCGACCTGACCCGAACGGTATAAGTTGAAAATCCCTTCCCCGGATGTCCACGTGTCCATTAATGAACCTCTCGGGTAAAAACTCCCCAACATTGTCAGACCAGATACATGGGTCTCGGCCCATAGCCCAAGAATTCACCAAAACCCGTGAATTCTTAGATATGAAATAGCCATCGATGACAATATCCTCCATTGATTCATGTGGGAGCAATAATGGAGCGACTGGGTGAATCCTCAAAGTCTCTTTAATAACCATTTCTAAGTACTCCAACTTTACCAAATCCGTTTCTGCTACCATTCTCTCTCCTCCAACGACACTCATGAGTTCTTGTTGGATCTTTTGAGCCACCCTTGGGTGGGTCAGGATCTCTGACATGACCCACTCGATTGCAGTGCTCGAGGTGTCGATTGCTCCGACAATCATGTCGACTGCGATCGCTTTGATGTTGTTGCGATCGATGGAGTAGGAGGGCTCGTCGTGGGTTGTTTTTGAGGATTTGTTGTTCATTAATGACAACATTACATCAATGAAGTCTTTTTTGTCATGGGTTTGGTGAAATCTAGCAGGGTCTTGTTCGTGCTCAGTGATGATGATCTCCAAGATTGTGTCATTGGCTTTGCTGGCTTCTTTGATGCTTCGAGTCAAACCCTGAATTCAAATGCCATAATTAGAAGCCATATAGTTGACGTATTATTCAATGTTAACATTTGTGTGTGTGTGTGTGTGTTTTTTTTTTTTTTAGAGTTTACTTTTGTTTATTTATTTATGGGTTAATTAGGCAGACCTCTTTTAATATTTGGAAAAAACATACAATAAATCTCACAATCTTAATATAACTAATTACATTGAGTCTCTTGTAATTTTAATTTATATAATACTTAGTCTTATTTTCAACAATAATTTGTTAGGTATATTGATTAAAAAAAAAAAGATGTCAATTTTTTGACATGAAAATGTATATTTTACATTATTTGTTTTTGTGTTTTCGCAATATCTGCATTAGGTTTGGTCCATTTAAACTTAATAAAATAGAAGTCAGTAAGACCATCTCCAACGGTGAACCAAACCTGGCATCAAATTTAAAATTTGGTGAAAAAGTCACTTTTTTAAGCTCCAACGGTTTCACCAAATCGATATCAAATCCAGAATTCAGCAAAAATGGTACCAAACTGAGTGCAGGCGAAGCATTTCACCAAATCACTGTTCCTAACCGTTGGGATGAGACGAACGGGTCGACCATCCGGTTGACCAACCGGTTAACCAACCGGTCGCCCCGGAAGGAGATTTTTAATTTCAAAGATGTGTACTAAGAAAATTTAAATTTGAGATGGGATGTATGTACTCATGCCTATATTAGTAATTTTTTTAGTGGTAAAATTGTAGTTATAAAATTTATTCATTAAGTGTGTATATAGAGTAAATGGTGTATGAAAATAGAGTCATCCATTAATTCCAATTTAGTTCTATTTTTATTGGATTAATTACACAAACCTCCCTTAAGGTTTATGAAATTATACTACAATTCCTTACTTTACTTGACAATATGCACATATCTCTCCTCTATTAAATTGTACTTTAAACACATGGGTAATTGACAACAAGCTATCTCAGCATACATTTACTCAATGCACACCACACATAATTTTGACTTTATATATATATATATATATATATTTTTGCTCAATGCACATCATCAATTGTCAAATATTCATAAAATATCCTTATTTTCTTCAACTCCAACTCTAACCCTAACCCTAACATTTCTCCTCCTGGCCATCGTTGCTAAGCCATCAACTGTCAGCGTCTTTCCTCCGAATCACTTTCCGCCACCACCCCTCTTCCATTGACGGCATCCTTTAAATCTGGAAACTTAAGCCAATCAATCAGCTATCGGTTGACTCTCTCTTTTAGAAATTGATTATTTTAATTTTTTTATATAAAAGAGTAATGTGAATAAAAAGCGAACATGCCACACATGTGAACTCTATTTTTGTGTAAGGAAAAGATGTCATAAAGCGTACGGGCCACCAGACCCACTATTCAAGCTGTAACTTTGGACGTATATCTATTGAGGCTTACTTTGCTGGAAGGAAAATTTTTTGGATGTGGATTGAATTTTTTAGTTTTTTTGACATTTTAATTTGAAATTAAAATAATTTTGTTTGGGATAGATTTTTTTTAATTTTTTTGATTTTTATGAAATAAAAAATATTATTGATTATAATTTGGATGTAGTAGTTTTTAATATAAGATTAAAAAATTTTTTTGTCTTTTTTATCTAAAATAATCCCAATCTATGTTCAACCCACATGCGAAATGAGTGGTTAGTTACTTTAGAGTGTTTATATTTCTTATCAATTATTATTAATATGTTCTTTCATATTTCAACAATAATTTTATATTTTTCTCAATCCATAATATTATGGAGCAGCTATGTGACCATACTCCTCTAGTATCCACAAGTGTTCTGCAGCACAAAGAAAAAATAGAAATATTTAAAAATAAAATACGTTTGTTAGATTTTTTTTAGTGAATTTAAAATAAAAAAAAAAACTTTTTGGGTTTCTATTGACTAGACGGATGAGGAATTTTGTTTCTTTTTTGTTTGTTTTTTTTTAAAAAATTTTAGATATGTTTAAATAATGAATATTAATTCAAAAAGATAAATGTTTGATATAATTTAAAAAAAAAGCATTTTAAAGACACATTTTGGGTTTAAAGAAAAATATGACCTTTTATTTGTATGATAAACAAAGCCTCCCTAAATTCCCATCTCCACTTTTAAAAAGATGAATTCATATATCACGGAAAATATTTCATCAAAACTTCTCACCTCATATGCAATCTTTCCAAATGTCGATAATCTCGTAAATCTGTTTTAAAGTGTTTTAAATTTTTTAAATTTTATTCATATAATCAACACGGATAAGGAAAAAAAAAATAAATAAATTAAAATAAGTTTAATAAACTTCTAATCAGATGTGATGTCTCTAATGATTTTTCCCTTCTTTTATTCTAATTTTCTCTTGACACAAAAAAATGAATTAAAATAAAAGGTAAGTACACACTCTACTCAAATTTGAAAAAAAAATAAAGTAGATTTACATTGTTTGATATAATTACTGACCTCCGTACTTATATAAGTTAAATGGACCAAAGCCTAATGCAGATATTGCGAAAACACAAACAAATAATGTAAAAATATACATTTTCATGTCAAAAAATTGACATCGTTTTTTTTAATCAAATAACCTAACAAAATTATTGTGTGAAATAAGAACTGAAGTATGTAAATAAATTAAGAATTACAAGAGAGACTCAATGTACATATAATTTATATTAAGTTGTGAGATTTATTGTATGTTTTTTCCAAATATTAAGAGAGGTCTGCTAATTAACCATAAATAAATAAACAAAAGTAAACCTTAAAACAAACACACACACACAAGCACACAAGATGTTAACATTGAATAATATGTACACACCAATGCTTCTAATTATTGCATTTGAATTAAGCGTTTGGACTCGAAGCATCAAAAGAAACCAGCAAAGCCATGACACACATTCTTGGAGAGATCATCATCACCGAGCACGAACAAGACCCTCGCTAGATTTCACCAAACCCCATGACAAAAAAGACTTCAGTTGATGTAATTGTTGTCATTAAGAAACAACAAACCTCAAAAACAACCCACCGACGAGCCCTCCTACTCCATCGATCGCAACAACATCAAAGCGATCGCAGTCGACAATGATTGTCGGAGCAATCGACACCTCGAGCACTGCATCCTGAGTGGTCAAATGTCAGAGATCCTGACCCACCAAGGTGGCTCAAAAGATCCAACAAGAAACTCATTGAGTTCGTTGGAAGGGAGAGAAATGGTTAGCAGAAAACGATTTTGGTAAAGTTGGAGTACTTAGAAATTGGTTATTAAAGAGACTTTGCGGATTCACCCAGTCGCTCCCATTATTGCTCCCACATGAATCAGATGGAGGATATGTCATCGATGGCTATTTCATAACCTATGAATTCACGAATTTTGGTGAACTCTTGGCATGGGCGCAGACCCAAGTATCTGGTCTGACAGCTGGGAGTTTCTTACCCGAGAGGTTCATAATGGAGCAACGTGGACATCCGGGGAAGGGATTTTCAACTTATTATACCATTCGGGGTCAAGTCGGAGGGGATCCCCGGCGATGCATTTGGGCTAAACTAACATTCGGTTGGTATGGCTCAGTTGATCATTGCTTTGCGATTGGGAATTCCTAATGGGATGAAACCAAATGAATTGGGATATGAGGAGAAATTTGGCTTGTCATTGCCAAGAGCCAAACACCTTGCTTGCAATTCCCAACTTATCGCTATAGAATGTGCTCTCATGTGAAACTTAAAATCTGTGCGCAAGTATTTATTATTACTTTGATATGCAATTTTAATGATTGTGCCCGTTTTATTTCTTGTATATTTGTTTAGAGCATATGTAAGGGCCATGCTTCTCTACTTTAGAGAGAAGCAACTGGTACGGTTTGAGTTACTATATGAATTTATCACAGCGTGTTATTCGATAATTCAGAATTGTTCATTTATTTATTCTCCTATTTTTTCTCTATAATTAATATTTGTCTCTACTTATATTCACATCTTCTTAACTAGAAGTGCACTCCTAAGTAAGAATGTGTGCATATTCGGTTGTACTAATTACACCACAATTAAATAATATGATTTAACACTAATTAAAATTAATAACAAAAAATAAAAATACAAATCTATCATATAATTTTTTCATAAACAAAAAAATGTGAAGCCTGTGAGATTTTAAATCTTTCTCATTATTTTCAGTATCCAAACTACAGAGAGAAAATCGCATAGATTTCTAATTGCTTAGATATTGAAAATCTATTGGCTTTTTTGGCTATTTTAACCTGGGGCTAAAAAGCTTGGTTTGTGAAGGGCTTTTGGCTTTTGCTTTTTTACTTTTTTGTGACGAGAAGAATGTAATATTATAGCGTTGGATTGATGTTTTGTTTGTTATGGCTAAAATAGTCTATTTTTGTTTTGTGACTAAATAGTCAAAAAGCCCTGAAATAAAGCCCTTCCAAACACAGGCTAAATTAAAGTGGTGAAGGATGATATTTAGTGAAGAGGCATAAAATGTTTTTTCTTTATAAAAATAAAAATTAAATTTAAAGAGAAATTAACTATTGCAGACGGAATCAAAACCTAAAATAATATATAATTAACATATAGTTTAAAATTTGCCTCAAGGGCAAAATTACATAGGCAAAAAATGTATTTCCCCCCACTTTTCAGGAAGTTCACTTCACAGAATACTATGCAATTCAGTGAGATGTACATAGGCATATTTACCTATTTAAAACATTACTATAAAGTATATATTTATTTGTGCCCTATCAAACTATTTCATAATTTACTCCTAATCATGCTCTTTATTTTAGCCATTCATCTAAATACTATTAAATTTATAAAATGCCATATCAGCAAATCAAAGATGGAGGAAATGACCTAATGATTAAATACATTTTGCCTAGCTGAAGGCTAGCTTACATGTAGCTAGTGAATCGGTTGAGTTGAGCTAAAAGCCTATCATATGCCTAGGTGCATTGGAGTTAAAAAAAAGATGAATATT